CGATAAGGATACCAAGGCAGCGAATTACACTCACTTCCCTTAAGGTAGTGCCGCCCAGCTCAACAAGAACGGGTCTTTGTACGTCATTAGCATTCTTCGGCAAGATCCTCATGACCACGGTTTTGTCAACATTAACGCTCATGCCCAGTGATCTTAGTTCATTGTGTATCTTAGCGAGAGCCGAGGACACGACATCGGCGCATACTATTGGATCTCGTGAGGAAGCGTACAAAGTCTTGTCATCGGCAAACATGAGGAGCTTTGCACCGCTCCCTGCAGCCAGGTCAGGTAAGAGTCGCACATATAGGTTAAAAAGGGTGGGACCCAAGATTGTTCCCTGCGGAACCCCTCGGGTTACAGGGAGAAGAGATGATGTTCCAGAGGCTATACATACACGCTGGTGCCGGCCGTTCAGGTAGGAAGCGAACCATTTCAGGGCAGAACTATGAATGCCTAAGCTGTGCAAAGTAAAGATAAGTTCCTGGTGCACAACTCGATCAAAGGCCTTGCTTAAGTCAATAAATGCTACAACGGTTGTATGACCCACATCTCTAGCCAACGTCCAGTCATTTACAGCCAAGGTCATGACCTGCACTGTTGATCGCTGGGTACGTGTTCTGAGGGTGTAGTCGGAGGAGTCTTATATACAAGTATAAACTGTTTACAAATAATCAGTACGTGGAGATAAAAGTTTAATAATAGCTATGAAAAGCATGAATGCCGCAGACATCACCACGCAACATGACAATTTGTTCAAAGGAAGTCATACATGTAGGTTTACGACTCCCTTCATAACATTAAGTCTGGGGGCCATGGGGGGTTATTTGTGAAGTTTCGTTCCCGGTAAGAGGGCACCAAGTTTTTTTCGATTTGAATGTCAAGTATCTTCAAAATGCTGCAAGATGGTATGCCATTCAATCAAAATTTCCATCGGGAAGGTCATACAATGAAGGTGGAAAGAATAATAGTTGCCATGGTAACAAATCAGTTAATTCAAATTTACAGGAGAACTATGCGATATTTTGACAAAAATCCTGCTGGATATAAACATATCCAATACGTATGACGAGTTGGCCAAGTTTGACTGAAAACAAATAAATTGCAGGGCCTCAAAGGTGAATTATAAAATCGGATCTACTGCAACTATACATTACTGTACATACAGTACGTAATTAAACTAAAATTTTAAGATATGCATGCATACACCGACAACTGTACAAGTACATGTATATTGGTGACCAGTGTACATGTAACATCTATAAAGCCTATTAGAAAAGAGTTAGAAATGAATAGAGCAGTCTGTGACCAATGGTGATCTAATGGATATGCATGTACATGTACATGCAGAAATATATAATTTTATGTACACAGGGGGAAGTGGTCCCGTCCACAGCACATACATGTATGTACATGATATAATCCAAAACTGGTAAAGCAATATTAGATAAACCTTGTTGTAGTTCACGCAATTGTTAGATTGACAGCATGAAACAAGGTGGAGGACACTGTGTTCGAAAACAGTGACCTTACTACAACCTTCCGCGGTTGGCAGAGCCCCAGTCCCTGCGGACCATTTGAACCATATTATTATGGGTATCGCACCCGGTTCTGACCCTCGTTATGCTAGGGGTTAGGAGACTACTCCTGATGTCGTCTTGTTGTCTTCGCTCTTTTTTAACTTGTATAAAAACTTCTTTTTCTTTTCTTTCCAACTTCTGCCCATGGCAGGACATCACCAACCCCGTCTACAGAGAGCACCTTCTCGCGACAGTGTCATGGTGATGACAACAACTGTTTACAGCTGACGAGCTGAGAGAAGGACGCAATGGGCAGAAGTTGGAAAGAAAAAGAAAAAGAAGTTTTATACAAGTTAAAAAAGAGCGAAGACAACAAGACGACAGCAGGAGTAGTCTCCTAACCCCCTAGCATAACGAGGGTCAGAACCGGGTGCGATACCCATATGGTTCAAATGGTCCGCAGGGACCGGGGCTCTGCCAACCGCGGAAGGTTGTAGTAAGGTCACTGTTTTCGAACAGTGTCCTCCACCTTGTTTCATGCTGTCAATCTAACAAATGTATGTACATGTACATGTATGTATGGCGAAGAGGAAAATGTACATGTATGTACGGGCAGTGACGCAACACTATCTGCAAGGAATGCGATGCAGCTAAGGAAGTGTGGCATGAACACATAACAGAGGACCACACACGTGTTCAGGAAACAGAACAAAAGGCAAGTCGTGCATTGCATTATCTATGACTCTTCAAGCCCTGCCAGTTTGGCCAACTCTAGTGAAGTCGGCTCAGACTCAGGACGACTCTTCATAGTGCAGTTACTTGTATTAATCCGCATCCTCGTTTGTTATTGCTGCTGACACAGTCAAGGTCCTCTTGGCAGTTAGAACATTAAACCACAGGAGCACCATGCGTGCAATTGCAGACATCAGTTCACAACATGTTATGGCGACGACATGAGCAACGTCCATGCAGGGAGGTAGCTGGTTGGATTGCTGTTTTTTAGGCAAAACAGCTCATACCGGGCTTCGTTCACCTGCTGGCACTTGGACGCCTTGTACATCTGACAAGTGAACCTTTCTATGTCATCCAAAGTGGCTGGTGTTAGAATGCACGTCCAAGCTCACACATAGCTATGCGTGCTGATTCACTGGCGGGACCATCACCATGGACAATGTTGAAGACAGCACTTTTCCTACGAAAGGCAAACGCGCTGGTGGAATCGCTACCAGTGAACGCATGTAAGCCGGGCAGAGCATTGCAAACATCGGCACTGAGCTTCTCTGCAATAGCGGTCATGTTGACTGTACGCCGGTTGTTGCCTGCACCAACCTCCACCAGCAGCGTACACGGCATAACATGGCTAACAGAACAAGCAATGATGTCAACATCGGTATCTGGTGTTCTTAAGTTATCAGAACGGTCTCATACCCACTGACAGCTGCATGCCTTGCATGAAGGAGCAGTCTGGTGTCCGCCTCTTCCTGGGTTGACAGCAACTCCTCCACAGCAGTAGACGCCACGCTTGCACCAGCCAGCCGACTTGACAATTACTCTTGGCCCGCAGTGACAACCAGTTCCTTGCCTGGGGGCACCTTGTTCAGGTTGTCCAGGAGCTGCCACTGCACCAGCAAGAATGCCACAAGCTCCCCTTTGTTGCTGCCAACGGATAGGTTATCATAGGTACTTAGAGAACTGCTTTGGCGTGCTCTGTTTCCCTCTACATGTTCCTCTTCGCTATACATCCATCCATTAGATCACCATTGGTCACAGACTGCTCTATTCATTTCTAAGTCTTTTCTAAAAGGCTTTATAGATGTCACATGTGCATGTACATGTACACTGGTCACCAATATAATAATTATTATTTGTACAGTTGTCGGTGTATGCATGCATTTTAGTTACGTATGTACAGTAATGTATAGTTGCAGTAGATCCGATTTTATAATTCACCTTTGAGACCCTGAAGTTTTGTTTTCAGTCAAACTTGGCCAACTAGTCATACGTATCGGATATGTTTATACCCAGCAGGAATTTTGTCAAAATATCGCATAGTTCTCCTGTAAATTTGAATTAACTGATTTGTTGCCATGGTAACCATGATCAATTCTTTCCACCTTCATTGTATGACCTTTCCGATGGAAATTTTGATTGAATGGCATACTATCTTGCAGCATTTTGAAGATACTTGACATTCAAATCGAAAAAACTTGGTGCCCCCTCACTCGGAACGAAATTTTTTAGACGTGACTTTTTCCTACTTTGGCCCCCGGACTACATGTCCAGTCCACTACAATCAGTGACGGTCGTAGCTACAATTGTAGGTCGGACGGTGCGTAGACCCCGTTGAACTTTTGCTACTACAGTACAACGCCCTATACAAAAAAATTCCCTGTTATTTTGCACAGAACCATCATTATACATGTACATTAGCAGCATATGTGAGCATAATGCGGCATAATATGATAACTTTTAGCATAAAAATAGCATAATTCTGCAATTTTTTCAGCAATGCGAAAAGCATAATTTCACGAAAATATTAGCATAATCCGTCAAGGCCTACCCTTGATCACTTTAGTTCCGTATTTCCACTGATGATCGGAGCTTGAAAATCGATTTTGGAAACACACAAAACCAAACCTTGAACAAATTGTCATGTTGCGTGGTGATGTCTGCGGCATTCATACTTTTCAATTTTTCATAGCTATTATAAAATGTTTAGTTATGCCTTATGATAAGACTAAGATGGTATAAACTAACGGACTAAGACTAAGTCATGTAGCATAGCGTAGGCCGGATGTTTTGGCCACGACTAGACTGCACATCTACATGTACATGAGTATAAATAAGAAGCCTTGCTTGATAGTTACATGACTAATGAGGTAGGAAGGCGTGAAAGCCCCTGGCCTGCTACTCTAAAGTGAGAAACTTTCGCTAGAGATTAAATTTCGCTAGTATTTCGTGACCATCACACATTCGCAAATACATGTATATAAATCGCCGCAAACCTCTCCGTACATTGATGGTAGACAGTACAAGATCCGACTGAAGAGATAGAATCGCAAAAGTTTCTCACCGTGAACCAGCCCAATTTATGAAAACGCTAAATTTGCGCGCCGCGAAAGTGTGTCGCTTTACAGTACATGATTCGGTTGAGCTGAGTGCAACCTCGACGACGTCGGCTGGATCGGAGGCTGGAGCCGGTTGTCTGGCGCGGCCGCGGCTTCATCGTTTTTTCCGTGGCGCGTGATCTCGACCACAGGCACAGAGGCACGGACTGCCCGCATCAGTGCCATGCGGCATGCTACCACGCGGTCGTCGACAGGCTTGGCTGTCATTCCTAATCCTAGTGCCGCTCATGTGACTAACGCGGGACGGTACGGGTGACGGGTGGGTCCGACTGGGTCGACTACCTACGCTACATGACATGAGTGGCACTAGCCTAGGATTAGGAATGGACCATGATTACGGCCAAGCCTAGCGCCTGTCGACGATCGCGGGGCATTCTGTGGTGGAGATCACGCGCCACTGAAAAAAGCGATGAAGACAGAGTGAGTAGTCGACAGTAGGCTACGTGACATTGACTTTGTACACCATGTAGATATACACGGCCCCGGGCTTCAATCGATTTGACTCTTGCCTTGGAGCTGGTCCGAGATAGCTTTTTTACTTATCTGTCTTGGTCCGTTCCTGTAATCCACCAGTCCGCTGTACAGTAGATGCTCCCGACCGAGAAGGAGCAAGTTAGTATCAACGTTTCAACGGTTTGTCAAGAAGGGAAAATCGAAGGCAGGCGTAGTTACCAGCGTAAGACTAGTAGTCGCCCATCTTCAGTCCACCGCAGAATTAGGAACTCGTTTCGCTGCATGCTAGGCTAGTAGTAGTACAAGTAGCTAAGACCCAGTGACTTCTAGATTCTAGAAGTCACTGTAGAACCAGTTTGTAGAAGCCCAGCCTAGCCACTGTTTGAAAACTTTGAAGGCGTGCTCTGTGTAGATAACGTTCCTTGCGCAGACCATCGCTCACTCGCCACACGCTGGTGTGAGCTAGCGCACCCTTCACTTCAGCTGATCACCGCGGCTTAGCGAAAGCTGACTGATTTCGCCCCTCTGCCAGCGTCAGTAGCACGGTGAGTTTCCGAGATGCTTCATGTCTCGCTGCTAAAAGATGCATGCTGGTTTGCTCTACTACTTGTACTAGGTCTAGGGTAGTTTCTGGATTCATTCCAAACATATCCAGGGGCTCGCCGGGAGGGGGGGGGGGGGGGGGGGGTGCTTTGGGTGCCAAAGCACTCAACTTTCCGATCTTGGTTCGAGAGACACCATTGTACACTGTCCGTTTAGCAAATTTCTGAGAGTCTGTAGATCCGGTAGATGTAGGTAGAAGTAGGCTACACTACAGTGGAGCGGTGTCAATACATGATTGTATTTGTAATGCTTTGTGACAGGGAGTAGTAATATAGTAGTATTTTACTACTCTCTGCTTTGTGCATACTGTTTATCCACACAAGCAGCAACAAAACTGGATTCTCCACAGCACCACAAGATATGTGTTGAGGAACACATCAAGCAAAGTCGTTTGCATCAGCCGGGCAGATCACCACTGGCACTTGGCCCATATCTCCTAGTGTTGATGTCGCTGATTGCTGGTGATGGTTGAATGTAGACAAGAGGGGATACGTCTCTGAACTAAATGAGAATGTAGCTGTAGCACAACCCTATACACTCATCATTGGATAACACAAGAAAAAGCCGCGCAGCATATCAATTTGTTACGCTGTGTTTTGTAGTTGTGGCTGTTTAGCGTTTGCGTTGGCGGTGGTGTAAAAGAAAAAAGAAATTTGGTTCATGTTTTTCCAAGTGCACTCATATACTAGCAGAAGCAGAGAGGTACATGGACAATTTGAAATTTAATTCACTTTTCTTTAGGAAAGCTAGTGAGTCTGATCAACCAGTCAGGTTTCATGCACTATCCAAGAAGATATCCAAGAAGATGAAGAGAAAAAAGAGTGGAGAAATCTGATTTGGGGGTGAAAGGAGATTGTGGTAATTCCAGCAAAAGCAGCATCCAGGATCTGGCTCATTACTAGGAAGAGTAATCTTGAATGTCCACTGTGGTGGTTGCTTCTGCTGTTTTGCCTTCATTGACCCGGTACATATCATGGACTATGTGGAAATCTAGCGGCATCCTAGCAGTACTTGCAAGTACAGTCATGTAGTGGCATGGCATGGTGTGTGTATGAACACACAGAACACATTTACAATCATGTACTTTTGGGGGAAATTTGTGCCCCCCTCTCCCCCCCCCCCCCCTCTCTTGATCATGATCCTGGCTATGCCATTGAAATCCATCATCGCAGTGTGTCCAGTCAGCTGCAGTTTGAGCCAAAACCAATAATACGTGGCGGGAGAATTTCTTGTCTTACAAAAAAAGAAGAAAAAAAAGGATTCCCGGGCGTCCCGCACCAAAATTGAGCCGAAGTCATTTTTTAAACAGTTAATTAAAATGTACAGTACTGATCGTGTGAGTAGATCTGTGGCAGGGAGTCACATAAACCCAGGCTTGTACGACTCCCTGATGTACGACTCAGGGCTGTCGTTGGTAGAAATACAAAAAAATTCTCGACATAGAGTTTTCTATAAGCACGAGTAAATAGCCCCCGTAGAGTGCAACTCAGATGGGATTCTTTACCAGCCAAGTCAAAACCAGCAAGTTCTTGGGTTTGTAGTACAGGTAGAGATCAGCTATAGGGTTGGTGGTTATAAGAATATACCGGCTATAATGTTATCAGCTTCAGAATTCCAAATCTAAAGTATCTTTTCCACTCAAATTCAACGGTGGTTATAGGAGTATTCTCTGTATATGTATATCATGGTTTGTAATCTATAGGAAAATAGGGACAGTCGTGAATCAGATACATGTACTGCTCTATTACTATGTCAGTGTGAGGAGAATTAGAGGGAGAATGTCACCTGTCCGCCATGTGTCTCTATCCGTACAAGAGAGCAGACTGAGTATGCACAACTGCACATCACATTGCTCAGCTTTTCTCATCTTTAATTCCAGGTACTGTTTTGTAGAATCTACTAACTTACAAGCTTGAGCAGGCCAATGGGAGTTATAAAATTTGGACGTTAATGTATGTGCATGTGAGTGGGGGGTTGGGGCTTAGAATATGCAGATCCTTTGTTTGAAAGACGTTCATGCTCCATTTTTCTTGCTTTCTTCAGATACTAATTTCAGTGCGCCGGCCGGCCGTGTGCAAGTATTGCTGGTACTAAGGTCTGACCCTAATGTGCAACATTGCTAGCCAAGAACTGATGTGCAGTGAATGAAGCCTGATTGTCAATTCTTGTAAGTTTCAGTCCTGGATCAACAGTTGCTGAACCACAGCACAAACACACAACACAGGCACGGTTAGCAAGCACACCATTCCACTGATCACCAACTAGCGATTACCTTAGCCATCCTCTATGACAGTGAGCTTGTGAACTGTGTGGCATGCTGGACAGCTAAGTTCATGAATCAAACAATTTACTTGAGATCGAGACTGTAGATGTGTTCAGGCGGTAACTAGATGCTAATTTAGACCAGAGACAGTTGTTGAAGGGGAAAGGATGTGTTGTACTGCAAGATCGGAGACAATTGGCTGGTTTAGCAATGCAGAATTCTCCCTCCAAGGATTAGGTACTGAAGTATTTTTACAGTGCTATGCAAGATAAAAAGTTTGAACTCTTATCAAGCTGTGCAGGACTTGAAATAGATTCTACAGGCTCAGTTCATACCAGTGGTGTACCCACGGGGGAGGGGGGGGGGGGTGCTTTGGGTGCTCAAGCACCCCTCAAAATGTTCGACATAGGCCAACGTTCATGATGTACCCACAGGGGCATAGGAACAGGTCCGGCGGCCGCCGATGTTTCGTCAAAAAAGAAGAAAGGGCAACAAGCTCGTTTTCAACCATGCGGAGGATCAAGTCCTACACAGTACAACCGGCCAGGAAAGGCTCAAACACATAACTCCTGATGTTCCTGAATGTCCACAAGAAACTGCTGGACGGCTAGTGCCTGAAAAGTGAATTTGAATGTGGAAGTGAGCATTAGCTCTCCCAATTCAGACAGTTTTAAAACCTCAAGTCTTCCATGATACCACAGTATTTGTTCAGATCAATCCTTTTACAAGTAAAATCGCCCTCTTCATTCAGCAGAGACAGAGTCGAGCGAGCTGTATTCCCGGTGCCAATAGGCGTGCTCACCACCCCTGTATGGCAACTTCCCCATGCCTAACCCCCAAGACAAAGTGAATACTGTTGTAGTCATACTGGGCGGAGTTAAAAATTAAAAAATTGCGACCTGTACGAGCTAAAAATCCGCCGGACCATTTTAAATCTGCTTCCTACGCCCCTGGCCCATGCCACTAAAAGTATCATAACTTTGCCACCGTTTGTCTGATTTTTTTGCCTTCCACTCGCTGTCACTAGTTGATCATAGTAACCGTGTTACATGTACTTAAATGTGCCAGGACGGAGGGCTATCTATATCGTCAGGGCCTCGACTTGTTCTATTCCGATTTTCCGGAAACACTCCAATCAGTTGGTCCGACAAAGCGACCGAAACGATTGTTCACGAAAGTGTACTAATTTGTTGTTTCGGGCCCTTGAAATCCTAAAAATGTGACGGCCTCCAACACTTTTCCCTCGACTTGGTACATCATGGTAAATAGCGCACTAAAAATCAAGATATCAACCATCCATGCATCACATGTACATGAATGGTCCTTTATTGGGTTCTTTGGGAAAGGGTTGGAGCACTCCCCTCATTGCGGATCCTGCATACGCCCCTGTCTACTACTATACACTGTGTGTAAGTTGATAACCTGTATCAGTATAGTAGAGTGTTAAGTAAAGACACATGTAAAGCCATTACAGTGTAGTTAGTGACTAAGAATGAGCATAGGCTCATCCATGATTCATGATACATTCTCTTCTGAATATTATCAGTACATTAAAACCTGCCTTCTATTCTCTCTTTCCTTCTTTCAGACACGACAACAAATGTGTGGACCTTACACACTGTACCGGCAGATGTAAAGGTTGCGACAGCGTAGCAAGGAAAGGAACTGATCACTGCAGTGAATGAGGCATTGTCAACTCTTGTATGTTGGAGTGACCTGGATGACTAGCCAAGCTGAGTTTCTGGTAATCACATAATCCAGCCGTTCAACGCCTAGCAGTTGCTTTCATCTCCCGATGATAGCGGTGCGTTGTATTGCAGAGCCATGACTACCATTGCTAGCTTCTGTATTCCTGGGAACTTGTGCCGGATAGTGTTGGGTCTGTTGCCAACGGGCTCGGCTGCTTGAAGGCGTAATGTTGTACCTACCACCTTTGTTGGTTTCAGGGTTCATACACTTTCTATTTGAAGTATACCTGTTAACCATGGACTACTTCTGGCTAGATTAACTCTTGTGTAATCATGGTGCTAGTGAAGCTTGTATCAGATCCACTCTGATTTAGCGACCCACACTAGTAGCAAGTATTACCTTCACTGAGGGCAGGGGTAACTGCAGTTGGATCCCGGGACGGATACCCTGATGCCGTCAATCCTTTTTCTGCACCTTGTCCTCACCCACTTACTGAGGTGTGGTGAGCCCATAAGTGGGATCATTTTCAAGTCCACCCAGAGTTTTGGGGATTTCAGGGGGTGTCGGCCGTTGGGCGGTTCAATAGCCAATTGAGTCATCTTTCCAAGATTCCTTTTGAGTCTCTCTCCCCTCTCCCGGAGAGACCCACGTGACCAGTTTTGGCAGTGAGCAACAAGTACAAGTGTGTGTGTGTGTGTGTGTGTGTGTCCCATATGGTGCAGTGGTATGTGCAGTCGATTTCCAATCGAGAGGTTGCCGGTTCAATTCCCGACGATTATGGTCGCACACGTCTTTCTTCTCTTTCTCATTCTCCTAGCTCTTCTTTCATTCTCCTGGGTGGTTACCAACAGCCAGTGTATGCCGGAGTATGTGGTGTGGCGTGTGTGTGTAAAAAAATAATAATAATGAAAAATAGGGATTCGCTGGCCAGAAAAAAGCCACTTAACCCTCACACCACAGAAAAGATGAGCCAGTGGGGTGCCGCAAGCTTATATTGAACGTGAGCACGACATGATTATTGTGATCATGATGAGGTATAACATAGTTCGCGTGAAATGATCGTACTGGGTCGTCAAAGGCCGCCCATCTGAAACATAGTATGATAGGAACAAATAACGCCGTCTATCGGCTATGAAAGAGCGTTTGAAAGATGACCCATGGGGTCATGTAACAATCATAAAAGCTGGGTGTACCAGTACATTGCTATGGCAACTGCATGACCACTAAGTACTCGGTAGTACCCACAAGTAGATTTTAAGAATGTATTTTGTCTGCGGCAGCCGATGGATGTGCACCATGCGGATTTCGTGCCCATCGGCCGAGCCCGTGTCTCCCCTCCGTCCGCTAGGTGTGGGAGGGTGGGAAACAAAATTGCGTGGCGAGCTCTCACAGCAAAACAGACAACTGGCAAAAATTACATCAGCCAGCAGTCTACGGATGCATCCGCCAGACGAAGGGTGGCTTGTGCGGGATGTCGTACGCGAGTGCGACTCGAACGCGGAACTCCGCAAGAGAGCGTGCTTGCGCAAGTCGGCTGCGGCGGCGCGGAGTGCGTAAGGTCACCTAAAGTCATCTAGCGGGAATATTCCCTTGCGGGGCGCGGCCCGTGGCGTGCTGGTTAACTACGGTTTGCGCAACGCAAACCAACATTTCAATCCGCTGTGTCGTGGATACCACCAGGCGGTCAATTATAGTGCGTTTGAAAAGTAAAGACCTCTAGACTTTTTCGAATAATTCAAATTTGGTTTGAGCTTTTTGAGAAATTTCTTCGGAATATTGCTCAGGCAGCACACGCAATTTTTCTCATGTAAATTTCTAAGCGATTGGATAACAGACGCCCAATTTCGAAAATTTATGCACAAAGTGAACACAGATTTTATGTGGTATAGATGCTGGCCTAACGGTTTTTTGAAACCAGAGGTCTGGACTTTTGAAGCGCACTATAGTGGCGGTCATTTCATCAGTCTTGCAAGCTGTTGAATGGTGTAATCCCAGCACAAGTTGCTATGTCCAACAATGTTACATAGCTGTTCGCTATCGTCGCTTCCGCGATGTCTTAGGTGAGGTGTGTGTGTGTGTGTGTGTGTGTGTGTGTGATTTCCAATCGAGAGGTTGCGGGTTCGATTCCCGACGATTATGGTAACACACGTCTTTCTCAGACTCCTCCTGACTGTTCTTTCATTCACCTGGGTGGTTACCAACAGCCAGTGCATGCCGGAGTATGTGGTGTGATGCGTGTGCAGAAAAAATATGAAAAAGACCAAACGTAGGGAGTCACTGGCCAGAAAAAGTCACTTCATAGCTGTGTGGTGTAGACCAGGCTGAATAGTGGCGGTCAATTCTTCAGCCTTGCAAGCTGTTGAATGGTGCAATTCCAGCACAAGTTGCTATGGCTTCTGCTGTAGCATTGCCATCATCGCCTCCTACGATGGGCGTCAAAGGCTCAAAGGTCAAAGGATAGTGTGTGTGTGTGTATGTCTGTGTGTGTGTGTGTGTGTGTGTGTGTGTGTGTGTGTGTCTGCAGAAAACTACTCAGACCATGACTGCAGTGAAGAGTGTATGAACCGTGCTACAATAACCGGTTTATCATCGTCCTGAAAGTACTTCAAAATGTCTAACAGTAAGTCAGACCAGCAGTCCACCATAATTGAATGTGCAGTATCTTAGCAACAAGCCTTTGGTTACTTGTGATTACAAGAGCAAACAAGAAACAAAACTCCTATAGACAACAGACTTGCTATAGAAAGTAGATGCCTTGTAGAGAACCAAACCCATTATGGAATGTTTGTTGCTTACAACCGTTGAGCCGGTGCTTTCCTGCCAACTTGACTTGTCATTTGGCTGATTATGACTACCATCCTGCAGAGCCGTCCATATACAAGAAACCCATCGAATGTTTCCCTATGTAAACCTGCAAGGAAACATGGCTCCATACATAAAGTACAGTTTTACCTGGAGGTTACTCCACATCAATTTAGCTTGAGTATGCTGAGGAAGGGCGGGGGGATGCAGGAGGCTACATGATGTTGATGTGTCCAAACACGACCCAGTTGTCATGGTGGTTGGTTGTCCAGGATACTGTCTCAAAATTACTAATGATTATCTGTCAATGCTGTTTCGATTAGTTAGACATTCCTGTATATTTGGTTTGTGTCTTTTCGTATTCTTTAGATGAACCATTTGATGATCCCAAGTTCATTGCTAATATCTTACCCTGGATCTGTGAAATTGATACAACTAGGTTTCGACATGCTGTGCGGGGCAAATGCATGTTAAGTATAACGGAAATTGAGACATTGCTGCGTCTGGAGAAATACGAAGGAAAGGAAATGCATAATTCTTACATCATCAGTCTTATTTGTCCTGGAGGCACAGTTGCTTATAAACTACTCTGCAATGCAATCCATGACTTGGGTCCACTGTACAATGAAAAGTACCAAGAAATGCTTCTCCTGTTGCCCGTTGACCAGCGACCAACGGCCAAGACATCCTCTCACGAGACATATATATGTAGATATGTAGGTCGAAGAGAAAACTCCCAGCTGTCCATTGAAACAATCGCTGAAGCGCTCCGTTGTGCGGGTCTGGGAATGTGTGTGTGTGTGTGTGTATGTGCATGTGTGTGTGTGTGCGCACGTGAGTGCGTGAGTGTGTGCGTGTGTGTGTGTGTGTGTGTGTGTCCATTGTTCTTATCACCTGACGATGGCCAAGTGCCGAAACGTAAAATAACGGAACTTGTTCGGATGTGCAGCGCTATGGGAATGGGTGTGTCCACTCAAATTCCTTTCCATGTATTATCGGTGTTGTGCAATTTTTATTTGTTTCTTGACATGTAGTTGTGTTTAGTTGTGTGTTCATGTGTTATCTGTGCCTTCTGTATTTTGCTGCTTTCGCAACAGACAATCCGTTTCACCTGGTTAAGTTTGTGTGTGACATTCAACCATGGTTGAACGAAGTTGACGCAGATCGACTGCGACAGATGGTGATCAAGAAACATCTCATAAGTGACAGCGCATCAATAGAGAGACTAAAGAGAATTCTGTCCCGGGATGGACAATCTGCTCATAATGAGGAGCTCATCAAGTTGCTCAGCGCTGGTGGCCAAAAGACTTATCGTGTTCTCGGTGTTGTCATTGAGGAACTTGGGTATGTGGACAGGAGCAAGGAAATGCTCTCCATTTTGTCCCACACAGGTATGTTGTTGCTATACTTTTACTGCAATGTGTTCAACTTTGGTGGTGTTTAATGGACAGCTGAGAGATTTCTCTTCGACGTACATATTTTAGTTTTGGTAATAACCCAGGAATGACTGAGTTCCGATCGATTGAAATCTTGAAAAGTTTCGATCCCAGGGGATCGAAAGTTGTACAGTCCGTACACAAAGGGTTAATACATATCGGTATTTACGGATGGCCCCTAAAACAACAATGATCCGTCATCACCAAAACTCTAGAACAGGCACGGTAGAGATTCCCCCAAGGCAATCTCCACACGTGACCTGCTACAGATATTATACACATACATCACAGACACGGCAAAGTTTTAGCCGTGTGGATGTAGTGAATTATGAGAGCGAATTATGAGTAAACGTAGTTTGTAGTAGTTCTGGAGTCATCCTTGTTCCCTGGGAGTGTAGGAGCCGTTCGATTGCGGGCGATTTTCGGAGAAAATGAGCGTGAGGCTGGTGGCAAGCCTACTCATATTTTGCACCAAATAAGCTTGATCAATGTCACAAAGGCAAGTTTCTGTACATTTACGAATATTCCTATTCTACTTTAAAACGAAGAATATTCTTTTTCCGCCTTGCATATTTCGAATATTCCTTTCAGCCCTAGTTTTTAAGCTGTGTTCCTACTTTTGAAGTATTGAAGTCATGTCCCCTGTGGGAGCAACTAACTTCCTTATACGATTATCGCCGAGGTTGCTACCACTCTTTCGTGGTAAATGAAGCCGTAAGGAAGTTGGTTGCTCCCACGCTGCAGCGCTATTCCCGTTGACCTGACTTGAGCCTTGACTGACTCACAACTGACTGTTACAGCGTGGGAGCAACTAACTTTCTTATACGATTATCGCCGAGGTCGCTACCACTCTTTCATGTTAAATGAAGCTGGTTGTTCTTCAATACAGTACATGCATCCACGCAATCCACACCGGTCCAAATGAGCACTAGGAAATTTTAGAACCAAACATTTTCGTTCCCTTCTCTTCATAGGCTCTTACAGGGAATAAAGCAAAAATAACTATCTTCCTCTCCCCAAGCACCAGCAGCACTGTTAGCAGCAGCTGCAGCAGCAGCTGCAGCAGCAGCTGCAGCAGCAGCTGCAGCAGCAGCTGCAGCAGCAGCTGCAGCAGCAGCTGCAGCAGCAGTAGCACCTTCAGCAGCATCACCAGTAGCACCTTCAGCAGCAGCATCACCAGTAGCACCTTCAGCAGTATCAGCACAAGCAGTGGCAACTTCAGCTGCAGCAGTATCACCAGTAGCAGCTGCAACAGCAGCACCAGGATCCCCTACAGTGGAAATACCAGTAAACACAATAGGGTTCTTCACATTCAACACCCAACAGGGGCTACGGGATTCTACGAGTTTCTACGGAATTCCGTTCATCTGTACACCATGCATTATGCTTATACAGTATGTGTTTGTGTATGCTGACAAGTCCACAAAGGTTGAAACAGTTCTGTCCGTAGATTGGGTATATGTATGTTAAATACAGTGTTTGGTGTGTATAAAAGTATACATGGCATACTGAAATGGAGCCACATGCATGTAGCACAACAGTGATTTAGATGCCAAGAATCCTTGCCAGGTTAGCCATTGCCATGGTATAAGCGTACTTAGATCAACCACTGATGATGTACAGGTCCAGACTGGAGTGATGCACATCGACACTCTAGAACCTGGCTGTGTTAACCTAACGTATACGGCTGGCCATAAATCATTTTTTGTATGTTTGTTCGTGTGTGTGTTTTTATCCCATGTATATCTTGATTAGACGAGGATGAGAAGTCGTACGGCGATCCATTCCAACAGCGTGAGTTTCTAACCGATATTTTGCCTTGGTTGGCCAAATTACCAGCTGGAGCATTTCGTAAAAGAGCGCAAGAGGTCGGGTTCTTGACCGATCTGCAGCAGATAGAAGACTTAAAGAGGATTGAGAGACGACATGGACCGCGCACTCACAACGAAGAGTTGATCAACATTGCAAGTAGCGATGAACGGGCCGGCTACATCGAGCTGGTGAAGGCCATCCAACTCTGGGGTAACTATCCCGACAAGGTCGACAAGATGAACCAGCTTCTGCCACGATGGGCTCGTGTGTTAATGGTAGGTTGCGTTCATTTCTTGCGCTACCTGAATTCCAAATAAGTCATTGAAACGCAGATCTCTTGTTTGGCTATGAAATTGTGTTTCTCATTAGATATTGTCCCAGTTGTGATAGAAAGTATGCTGATGAAGTGTCCATTGTTCATAAATCAAATTGGAGAAAAGTCAAATTTCCTTACGACTGGAAATTTGGAGCACATAATTATACTGATACCTCCTCCGTTAACAAAAACTTCGTGATGGAGATTTGAGGGACTGGTTTGCGCACAAACGGCCGTGAAATAAGTCGCAATCACTTTCTCGGCCTTCCCTGGCATGCCATGAAAGAGATACGATGCAAGGAAAGCAACCTTTCACAACAAGCGAGCGGAATCGATGGTTGAGCTGTGGCAACATAGGTGAGGACAGTAATGGCGAGCGAAATTGACTAAAGATATTAATTATAATAGTATGTGATGATAGACCAGTTCCAAGAAAACAAACGATAATAGTTGCGTCATATCATCACATTCGATCGTCAGTGATTCAGACTGCCCACCGGGGGCAGACGCACAAACGGCCCACCGAGGGCTAGCCTGCAGCTGCCCACCGTGGACCGGTGACACGAGCGGCTAGCGAGGCCAACAGCCAGCACACTGAGGGCTAAGTAATCCTGCCCGCCGTGGGCCGTTAGCATATTGCCCACCAAGGGCACACAAATGGCCGACGTGGCCAGCAACCTGCCCGCTGCGGGCGCATGAATGGCCGCCGAGGCCAACAGCTTACCCATCGAGAGTTAAAGCATCCGGCCCAACCGAGGGCGCGCGAAGAAGCGTATAGCCCAAACGAGGGTGCATGATTATAGCCCGACCGAGAGCGCATGATTATAGCCCAACCGAGGGGGCATGATTATAGCCCGACCGAGGGCGCATGATTATAGCCCGACCGAGGGCGCATGATTATAGCCCGACCGAGGGCGCATGATTATAGCCCGACCGAGGGCGCATGATTATAGCCCGGCCGAGTGCGCAAGAATAAGCGTATAGCCCAATCGAGGGCGTGCGAACGGCCGCCGAGGCCAGCAACCTGCCTACCGAAGGCTAAAGCATGCCGCCCAACCGAGGGTGCACAACGGCCGTCGAGGCCAATAGCCTGCCCACCGCAGGCTAAAGCAAACTTCCCGCCAAGGGATAAAGCGTAGTACCCACCGAGGGCCAAAGATGCTGCCCACCGTGGACCGATTATATACTGCCCACCGAGGGCTAAATCATACTGCCTATTGAGCAAACGAACAACCACCGAGGCCGACAACCTGCCCACCAAGGGAAAAGCATACTGCCCGCTAGGGCCGAAATTATACTGCCCAGCGAGGGCAAACGAACGACCACCGAGGCCAAAAACTCACACAACTGCCTGGCATTAGGCGTCACACCACACGCATACGATATGATGCCCGCTTGCACCCCAAAAAAGTGATAAACCTAGAAGCCATGGCACCCCCACTACGGAAGGTGTATTCGTACCCTCAGCATTATACCTATGCATAATCATATGATGCTGCCGCTACCTTGAGATTGAAAGAGAGAGATTGAGAGAGAGAGAGAGAGAGATTGAGAGAGAGAGATTGAGAGAGAGATTGACATAATTATATGTGTGATTGTTTTCCTCTGTTTTTTTTCTGACTCTCTATGAAGGAGGCCAAACATCAGCAGCAAGCAGGTATGTGACAAATCAGAGGAGAGAGAGAGGAGAGAGAGAGAGGAGAGGAGAGAGAGGCCCGGAGAGAGAGGCCCGGAGAGAGAGGCCCGGAGAGAGTGGCCCGGAGAGAGAGAGAGAGAGAGAGAGAGAGAGAGAGAGAGAGAGAGAGAGAGATAGATATATATATATATATATACACTGCACGATCAGGTCCTCACCAGAGATACATCATCGTTCTTTGCAACTCTGAGTTTCATGAAATGAATCAATCATCAGGCAATAGAAACAAACTTATACAGGGCAACTAGATCACTACAGGTTATATACCCAGTCACACAGCAAGCGCGAAAGAAGGCACTAAGTTAGGTGTGAGAATATTCCGTGCTAAAAAAGCAGGCTCCAGGTGGCAATGTTTAGGGCTCTGTACTTGTACTGTGTGCATGTGTTGGATATGGTGTTGGGTATGGTGTATGAATTGGCAGAGTGTGCAGGCTGTTCACGCGATGCTCATACGTAGGCAGGGCTTTGCATTTGGCGTATTGGTCATTCTAGGTGACTCCTTGGAAGTTCACGAGTCGGAACTTGTTTGCGTGCCTGCACTTTGCGACGACTTCGCTCCTCTTGTTCAGTGCCAGGGTCTTATCAGCAATTAGGATTCTGGCCTTTTCAGTTGTGCAGAGTTTGCATCTTTTTGTTGCAGGGTTGTAGGAGCTGGTCCTGTCTTTTATCTGCCAGGTAAGGTGGTACTCTTCCTTGTTTTCCTTCTTCTGCCACAGGTGTTCCGACAGTGCGGTCTTTTTTCGGTGTTTCTCGTGTCGGAAAGACATAGTGTGATTGTTGTACCGGAGCTTGAATGTTGTGTCTGCCGAGCCGATGTACACCTTTTGTTCCTCCTGGCAGGCTACGGTGGCTTCATAGACGATTTGTGTGGCTTGGCAGTGGCCATCCAGCGGACATTCCGTTTTTTTCCTGCAGTTACATGGTTTTTCTGGGCTTTTTTCCGTGAGGTGTTGTTTGTTGTGGCTGCTGATTTTGGCTGCGACGTTGGGGAGGCAGGAGTGGGGAAGCTCTCTCTCGAGATAGAGCACTCTCTCCCATACGTCGCAACTATGGACCCACCGAGAAAGACGGATTTAGGGTATTCGCTCGGCAACATACCCATCCCCTCAGCAAGCGCATACCGAAAGTGCCTAGTAGAGAAGGTCGAGAGCGTCATCCGCCGCATGCGCTGGAAGGCCCATTTCTTCCTGAACGGCAAGGACAAGGCGCAAGGCACCGAGACCTTTGGCTTCCCCACCCAGAAGTCACCCCCGCAAGTACCACAGATGAAAGCATTCGAAGAGGACTTGTTGAGCCTAGTGGCAGAGATCAAGTTTCGCCGGGTAAAGGACGACTTCCAGGACACACTGGAGGAGGACATAAAGACGCTAACGAACACGGACGACATCATTGTGAAGGCGGACAAAACCAAGAACTTATACTCCGTCAGTAAGCCTCAGTATGAAAAACTCCTGAGAGACAACGTCACAGCCACATACAAGCAGGCACCGGACAACACTTACACCGAAATCAACAACGAAGCAAAGCAGCTAGCAGAGAAGCTAAACATCAGCGACCGCGTAGACATTATGGCAAAATCAGAGGCTTTCATCACTCTTAAAGATCACAAAGACCGATTCAAGAACGACCTGCCCTGCCGACTCATCAACCCGGCAAAATCGGAACTGGGTGTCATAAGCAAAGCGATTCTCGACCGCATGGTGAGCGCTGTACGTGTGGCAACGGAAATCAACCTCTGGAGAAGCACCGGATCTGTCATCGACTGGTTCAAAGGAATAGACGACAAGAGCAGACACACATTTGTTTGTTTCGATGTTGTCCAGTATTATCCGTCAATCGGCGAAACGCTCCTCAAAAAAGCCCTCGACTTTGCAGAAACGTACACTGTCATCACAGATGAAGAAAGAAACATTGTCATGCATGCAAGAAAGTCCGTGATATTCAAGGACGGCCAAGCATGGATCAAGAAGAGCAACGGATCCATGTTTGATGTCACGATGGGATCGTTTGATGGTGCAGAGGTGTGCGAACTGGTCGGAGCCTACCTGCTGAACCAGCTCGCAGAGCACATCCCCAAAGGACAAATCGGCCTCTACCGTGATGACGGCTTAGCCATCATAAAGAACGCATCCGGTGGTACTGCAGAGCGACTTCGGAAGAAACTGACGGCAGTCTTCACGGCAAACGGACTCCGTGTCACCATCGACTCCAACCTCAAGGTGGTAGATTTCCTTGACGTCACGTTCAACTTAGCCACGGGAGCTTACCTACCACACCGGAAGCCAGGCGACACACCAAGATACATCCATACCCACTCAAACCACCCACCGAATATACTAAAACAGCTTCCGGCGGCTATCAGCAGACGTGTCTCTACCAACTCCTCAGACATCGACGCATTTAACCAAGCAGCCCCCATGTACAATGCAGCACTCTCAGCCAGTGGATATACAGAAAAAATCCAGTACACTGAACCAACGGAGCAAAACAAAGAAGAAAGGAAAAAGCGAAACAGAAAACGAAAGATCATATGGTTCAACCCTCCCTTCAGCCGAAACGTGAAAACGAACGTCGCCGCCGGATTCCTGAGGCTCATTGACCGGCATTTCAGAAACAGCGAGCTAAAAAAGATATTCAATCACAACAACGTCAAAGTTAGCTACTCCTGCCTCCCCAACGTCGCAGCCAAAATCAGCAGCCACAACAAACAACACCTCACGGAAAAAAGCCCAGAAAAACCATGTAACTGCAGGAAAAAAACGGAATGTCCGCTGGATGGCCACTGCCAAGCCACACAAATCGTCTATGAAGCCACCGTAGCCTGCCAGGAGGAACAAAAGGTGTACATCGGCTCGGCAGACACAACATTCAAGCTCCGGTACAACAATCACACTATGTCTTTCCGACACGAGAAACACCGAAAAAAGACCGCACTGTCGGAACACCTGTGGCAGAAGAAGGAAAACAAGGAAGAGTACCACCTTACCTGGCAGATAAAAGACAGGACCAGCTCCTACAACCCTGCAACAAAAAGATGCAAACTCTGCACAACTGAAAAGGCCAGAATCCTAATTGCTGATAAGACCCTGGCACTGAACAAGAGGAGCGAAGTCGTCGCAAAGTGCAGGCACGCAAACAAGTTCCGACTCGTGAACTTCCAAGGAGTCACCTAGAATGACCAATACGCCAAATGCAAAGCCCTGCCTACGTATGAGCATCGCGTGAACAGCCTGCACACTCTGCCAATTCATACACCATACCCAACACCATATCCAACACATGCACACAGTACAAGTACAGAGCCCTAAACATTGCCACCTGGAGCCTGCTTTTTTAGCACGGAATATTCTCACACCTAACTTAGTGCCTTCTTTCGCGCTTGCTGTGTGACTGGGTATATAACCTGTAGTGATCTAGTTGCCCTGTATAAGTTTGTTTCTATTGCCTGATGATTGATTCATTTCATGAAACTCAGAGTTGCAAAGAACGATGATGTATCTCTGGTGAGGACCTGATCGTGCAGTGTGTATTGGCTCTAGTACCCCGTACTATTGAGCACTATTCGCAACGGACGGGATCACCCCAACTCATATATATATATATATATATATATATATATAGAGAGAGAGAGAGAGAGAGAGAGAGAGAGAGAGAGAGATAGAGAGGGAAAGAGAGTGTGTTTGACACATATATGTGATTTTTTCAGAGGAGAGGGAGAGGAGAGAGAGAGGCCCGGAGAGAGAGAGAGAGAGAGAGAGAGAGAGAGGCCCGGAGAGAGGCCCGGAGAGAGAGGCCCGGAGAGGCCCGGAGAGAGAGAGAGAGAGAGAGAGAGAGAGAGTGTGTGTGTGTGTTTGACACATATGTGTGATTTTTTCCTCTGTTTTTTTTCTGACTCTATGAAGGAGGCCAAACAGCAGCAGCAAGCAGGTATGTGACAAATCAATTCTCAAACTTCTTCCCCTCCGATTGCGTTAAGTTTGAGTTTTACAGAGTTCAATGCCATGACTTTAGCTGAAAAAAGTTTTTTTTGCAGATTCAGTTACATGTACTTGTGGTCTGTGGACTGACTGACTCTGTGGTGGTGACAGTTTTTCTTTGGACTCTCCCGTTTTGAGTTGGACTGTCCCTCAGACTTATTATGAATAATCAAATAAAACGGTCGTGTACCGATAATCGATATCGTCTTTCGTCATGTAGATCTACAAGTAGTAGTAAGTAGTAGCAGCAACTACTACACTGTAGTACGTAGATCTATTGTACAAGTGCAAGTGGGCGCTATGCGCACTGCAAACACCAAGAAAGGCAAGCGAACGTGCGAACTTTTCGGCACAGGGAGTCGTGAACTGAGCCCTGAACCGGCATACGCATGATGGCGGAGGGGTAATCTTCTGTCATGGCACATACGGGCGCGGGTCCGACTGGAACTGCAGAGAATCGCCTAAAGCCGGGCCAGGACGAGCGAGTAACCGTGGCCGAGCCATCTGCTGAAACGGCCAGTCACTTTCATTCCATATTTGCCCTGGACATGGGCTGCGACAATTGCGACAAAGACCGAACTCTGGCTTATCAAGGAGCGTGCTTCCTACTCAGCGATCTGAACTGTGCAGCTAGCAAGGAGTACATCTTCGCGACTGCCGCACATAATCTGCTCTGCAACGATTGCGGCCACTGGGTCTGGGTACAAATCTACAGCGATTTATCTGAGGACCAGTTCCTAACCATGGGAAAGATAACCCACAAGAACAAGAATGGCTGGTTGATCGTTCCTGACTGGTACAATGACAATGCCAAGGATGCAAAGAAGAATAGCAATCCTGACCGATTTCGACACGACTATGGCATAGTAGCAGCCAAGAAGAGTCGCTGCAAGTATCCGCTAGTATAGACCGTATCCAATGACGTAACGGATCGCACGGCCAAGGGGGCTGCAGAGTCACTGAGTGGCAAAAGAGAGTTTTGAGTTTGAAAGTACAAACGGTCGAACCACTGAGTTTGGGCGGGAGAGGTTCGAGACGAGAAGAAGAAGGCAGCAGTTAGTAATGGATGGCGAGCAAAGCGAGGTAGTGGAGTTTTCATCAGAATACAAGAAGTTGGATGAGGCTGCAAAGAAAAGGCACGACGAAAAGCTAAATTTGATCGCGAAGGGAGCGAAAAACCCGTACTACGCCAGTGGCCATCAAGGCGATCATTTGTCAGACTTGCTTCCTCTAGTCGAATATCCGGACTTGTACAATTACTTAATTGCAGCCCCTAGCCCGGTAACGAAGGAAGAACTGAAGGCGTATAAAAGTCTCGACGGTCACAAGTTCTTGGTGGCAGGGTGCCTGGGAGATGTGAGTGGTACGAGGCGACATCGGATCGCGAAAAGAGAGTTGTAAAAGCAAAGGACTCCCAGTCAGTCAGCAGCGACCCTCTCACACCGTGGATAGCTGCAGAACACAATGGCACTATTATTCCCGTAGCTATGCAGAAGACGTTACTTCAGTAACGTCTGGCGCTAGCCAGGGTCCACACAGCTTTAATTCCCGTAGCTACGCAGAAGACGTTACTTCAGTAACGTCTGGCGCTAGCCAGGGTCCACACAGCTTTAATTTGGTGTTTGTTTGTTTGTTTGTTTGTTTGTTTGTGTCACGTCTGGCGCTATCCCGTATCTGTCCCGTACTGTACCGTACCAGTAAAGACAGCTGGCCACAATATTATTGTGTGTTTGTGCCATCGACATGCCTGGCGCTATCCCGTACCTGTCCCGTACCATCAAGAGTACGGTACCATCAAGAGAATAAGACATTAGTATATATGCGAAGTGTATCGGGGGAATGCATTCAGTGCAGTAAAATTTTGTGTGGATTTGTGTGCGAGGCCGAGATCCCATTAGCAGGCTGGCTGGGCCGCCTGGCGACCTGCCCGGGAATCGCATGTAGGCGGATAGCATAATAAGTTAATAAATATAACGTATAATTATACAGTCATGTAGATGTAGAGCAGGGAGTCATATTATGTAAACGACTCCCTGCTGTATGGGGAGATTTTCTGGAAAGAAATACGAAGTAGGGAGACGTGTAAATGCAATCAGAATGGATGTTGGTTGCCGCCAGTATAATAATAATAAGAAGATAAACGCCCGTGATCGGCAGAGTCAGCGCCGGTCCCAGGAAACGTCATCGACTGCAGAACGCCCGTGATCGGCAGAGTCAGCGCCGGTCCCGAAGCTATGCAGAAGACGTTACTTCAGTATCTCATTGAAACGTTTTGGCAATACAATGATGAAGCTAATCAAAGGAAAAAGCATTTCCACCAGTTCTAACAACATGCACGATGAGCTAGGCAACAAAGCATAGCGCAGGGCCCTGAGCTTCCAAGCTCTCTCGTTTGGTATTTGTGTGTTTGTGTGTTTGTTTGTTTGTTTGTTTGTGTCACGCCTGGCGCTATCCGTATCTGACGGCAAAAAAGCATAGGATGTTATAAATTTTTCAATTTTTCCTATTTTTTTTTCAGGCAAATCCTGGGATTTGAACCTGCAGTATCGCCCTACATGCATTCCCCCATACACTTCGCATTCATACCCATTCTTCCAAGTTGCTTCACGTTATTATCTTGCGTTTGAAAGCCCTATTTAAATATTGCGGGCAGCTGTATGTGGCCAGCTGTGTTTGATGGTACGGTACGGTACGGGAGACGGTGTCGTATTACCCTCGATCGTACCTGTCCCCTACCTATCCCCTACCGTACCGTGCCATCAAAGACGGCTGGCCACAATGCATATTCAAATAGGGCTTTCAAATGCAAGATCACAATGTGAAACAACTTGGAAGAATTAGTATGTATGCGAAGTGTATCGGGGGATGCATGCAGGGCGCGCGATAGTGCGGGTTCGAATCCCAGGTTATGTCTTAAATAAAAGGATTTTTTTAAAAGAATTTATAACATCCCTATGCTTTTTTTTGTCTAGGTCATCAAGGCAAAAAAAGCATAGCGTAGGGCCCTGAGCTTCCAAGCTCTCTCGTTTGCGCCCACTGCACCTTCAAAGCGGGGCTGGGTGAAGCATGCGCCCACATCGCTGCTTTATTGTTTGCCTTGGAATCGCACACTAAACTTGTGTCTGACAACGCCTGCACATCAAAGGGATGTGTGTGGTTGCCACCGTCCATAAAGTCAGTTGACTACACGAGAATAGCTGATATGGATTTCACCTCCCCCAGCAAGAAGTCAAAGACATCCAAGTCGTCTGCTGCTTTACCCAGCCCAACATCTTCTCCTGTTATTTCGGCCAGTGCACCAACAACGTCAGAACTGGATGGATTTTACAGCAAATTGTCCGAGGTGGCAATGCCAGCCCTGCTGTCCATCGTGCCGAATTACGCAGATGCATATGTTTCAAAGCTACCATCTGATATTCCTGCACCACTGTCCAACTTGTATGAGGAGTCGATGGTCTCAGCCAATTACAGTGACTTGCTTGACCGATGTGATGCAGTGTAGCACTTCCCTTTTTTTTGTTCACACTCTTAACTATGCTGTTATAAAATGTATTTTAGCACTATGTTTGACACCTATTATGTAATGCTGTAGCACCTCCCTTTTTTGGGTTCACACTCTTATTGTGCTGTTATAAAATGTTCTTTTTGTACACATTACCCTCAGTTCCGATAATATTCACTGATGAGCGGAACACGAAAATCGATTTTGAATAACATAAAAATCCTTTAAAATTCCATTAACTCGTTGTCTGGCCATGTCTGCATCTATTACAGGTCTGCTCTCGATATAACAACTCTCACTTGTACATAAACCTCGCTAGTAAGTAAAAAAATCAAATCCCGCGCCGAAACAGCATCACTCCCATACAAATTTTGTTCTACACAACATAATCCTACATAACATAAACCTCGACACAACACATGCTACGACGGTCCCCGAAGTGCTCACTCTCGATACAACATAAATTCACGTGCACGGTACGATCAAGCGGTAGCTGTAGCTAGGCAGTTTAGTCCTACATAACGTAAACCTCGGCATAACGCACCCTGTGGCGCGGTCCCCGACGTGCGCACTCTCGATACAACGTAGATTCACGTGCGCGGTACGATCAAGCTGTAGCCGTAGCTAGCCAGTTTAGTCCTATTGTGCATATATTCCGCGGCATTGATGGTATCTGATGTCGATGGTGGTACAGTGTGTATATGTTTGCACGGTTGAACCTGCCTTGTAATACCCTTCATTTTGAGGTACATCTTGTATTTGACACACGGTTTTCTACATAACATAACTCTTGATATAACATAATTTGTGCGTGGTCCCAGAGATTACGTTATATGGAGAGTAGACCTGTATACTCTTTATTGCACTCATAAAATTGCTTTCTCCACGCTGACTCTTTAAATTATTATTATTATTATTATTATTATTATTAAGAAGCTTCCGTGGAGATAAAAATGTAATCAACGCAATAAATAGAGTAAGCTGCGCACTCAGTACAAACACCATAAGCAAAACTTGTTTTCATGTAAATAAAGAAGCTTGTTCCTAAACGTTTTCGTCGCCATCTCATCAGAGGATTACTGGCAAATCAACAAAAGTTTTGCTTATGGTGTTTGTACTGAGTGCGCAGCTTACTCTATTTATTGCGTTGATTATTATTCCGCCTGTGTGGATTCACAGGAAGTGTGAGTTACGAAGTCTGAAGAAAATGTTGAACGGCCTCTGCTGGGATGACGACTACACCATAGCTCAGTGGTTAGAGCATCGCTGGCTACAAGCGAGGGTCCCTGGTTCGAGTCCTGGTGGTGACAGTCAATTTTTTCTTCAGACTTTTCCCGTTTGTCTCTTTCCCTCAAACCAGTTAATATTTTATGACTTGGGGCTCCCCGCGTGCTAGTTTGTACGTGAAGTGTGTGGGTTACAGTGAGGGCTGCGTCCCACCCGCCTGTGTGGATTCACAGGAAGTGTGAGTTACGAAGTCTGAAGAAAATGTTGAACAGCCTCTGCTGGGATGACGACTACACCATAGCTCAGTGGTTAGAGCATCGCTGGCTACAAGCGAGGGTCCCTGGTTCGAGTCCTGGTGGTGACAGTC